GCATTAAACTTTCTGAGATTAGAGACCAGGTGGTCCCGGCACCTGGCAGAGAGGAAGCACTCCTTAACTGAGGGGTATCTCCCCACACACTGAATAATCAAAAGGCAGTGTTTATTGAAATACTATTCATTTTTAAAATTGAGTTGTTAGCTGTACCTTTTTAGGGACACCCTGAATTTATTGAATAAATGACCTTTACATAATCTGATTAAAAGGAATCAGATTTGTGGAATTAAGATTATCTAAAGCAGGTTGAGTTTCTCTGGCCCTGGATGAGTTCAGTTAGCTTCTAGAATTAAATGCATTTGGACAGCTCTCCTTGCTTATTTATATCAGAGACTTCAGTATCAGGGTCTTATTTTACAATAGACAGTTTAAAAACTAAGATTTTTTTTTTTAAAGAGGAGCTTATAATTAGAAAAGTAATTTCTGTAAGGTTGTATTATAGAATTGTACAGAAACCTATATTATTTTATTAACCAATGTCACCCCAATAAATTCAATAAACATTAAAAAAGAAAAAGAAAAAATATGCTTATGGTCACTGGTAATGTTCTCACCTCAATTATGAGTTTAAAACATTTATGCTTATTTGTCCTGCTACTATTTAAAAGTGTGGATATCTTCATTTTTTTCTATAAGGTGCTCATTACAGATTCAATTATTTTGAAGAGAAAGGGATGTTTAAAAGGTTGAAAGTGAAGCTGAGAACCTGGAGTTATCTTAATGACATAGAAATATCCCACAAGGAATGTGTGTAATGAAGTAACTGCAATCTTCCTTTGCACTTTATTTTTGGAACATTTGTTAATAATGTCAGCTAGTGAGCTCTGCTAGGTTTTCTTAGTGGGGTTTCCTTTTATTTACATGGATCTACTGTCTCAATATGTTTTATTTTCTGATTGGATAGTTCAGTAAATACTTTAAATGACATTGTTATTGACATTAAAGTCCAAAGCCTTAATGTGGTTGGTAGCTCATAATTTTAATTTAAGGAGTCTCCAGAATGCTTTACTGTTAATTGACAGGATTCCTCCCTCCTCCTTTCCCCTCTTGCCCCCTTTCCCCATATCACAGCCAGTGGGCAGCTAATTAGTGCAATTATTCTGCAGCTGCATTTGCTGCTGCACAAAGGGTTGCTCATGTTCCTATCAAAAGGATCAGCCTTTCTGGAAATGTTCTAACCTGACAGGCTTTGACTGCTAAGACTGTTTATTTATTGATTTTAAGTAATACCCCACCCTGCCCTTTTTTCCTTAGTTTGGGGAAATACTAGTACGTTTTAGTTTTGCTGATCTTCTGCCAGTTGAACAGATTATTTTGAGTAATGGCTACTTTTATTATGTGGATGAGCACATGGTTTACTCATAAGCAGGGTATCAGCATTGTCTACTGGTGTGCCTGGAGGAAACAGTGATGGAGGAGGAATGGGTTGCTCTGGGATTCTGAAGGCTCAGAGCACCCTGTGCTGGAGGCAGTCCCTGCGTTCCCATCGGGTTGTCAGTGTCCTGTCTGTGATGGATCCAGTCCCCTTTTCTAGCCAAGTGGTGACTGACTACTCAGGTCATTTTTTTATTTTCTGAAATTAGCAGCATATAGTCTGCCATTGAGAAAAATCATTATGGCTTTATTTAGCTTAGTGAAAGACTGAGCAAGAAATTTTCCTGTAATTCCACTCTGATTCTGGCAATTTGGCAACTATGATCATCTCTAGGCATTCCCTGTAGTCATGTGTATTTGTGAGCATACACATGCTGTTCTTATTTTAAATTAAAATGTAAATACATTTTTGAATCCTACTTTTTAATGTACTCTTATTACAGGTATTTTCCACTTTGCTCAGTAGTCTCTATTTTAAAAAATGCTACATTACCAAATTCATGTATCATTCATGTATTCTGATTTACTTTTTTAAAACCTATTTTATGCTTAAATCTCTTAAATGGTTTTATTCCCCACCACCACCACTTTGTTCAGGTGTAATTGTATGTACCGTATTTGAGGTATATATCTACATGTACGTATTGTGAAATGGTTGCAATCAAGCTATAGAACACACCTGTCACCTCACATAGTTCCATTTTTTATTTTTGTAATGAGGAGAATCGTTCCCTAGAGCCCACACTGTACCTCAGGTCCTCAGACCTTACTCATCTTGTAGCAAAGACGTTGTGCCCTTTGACTCCTAATTACTTAACCCTTCTCAACAAACTTAGGTGCACAGAACCTTTAGCAACTTGAAGATAGCTTTTTAATGTCAGGTTTCCTACATTTTGAGTTAAATTTCCACGAATGAAATTTTGAGTCAGATTGTATGAACAATTTCATAGCTTTTAATAAGACCTCTAAGTCGTGCTCTTAAAAGACTGTAATGATACTTACCTGCAATGGTCCAGAGTGATGGTATCCTTATACTTCTTCATTGGTGCACTTTTAAAAAATTACATTAGATCATACATTGAATACTGTTTTGCATCTGGCTTTTCTAAGTTTATTATATTTTGTCCCCCAATATTTCCACTACTCACCTGATACCTTACATACATGGTTATTACAATATTATTGACTGTATTCCCTATGCTATTGTTTACATCTCCTATTGTGACTATTTTATAACTAACAATTTGTACTTCTTAATCCCTTCAACTTTTTTTTTTAATCTTTACTGGAGGATGTTTTACATTTTTATTTGATTTTGAGAGAGAGAGAAAGAAAGGGGGTGTGAGAGAGAAACATAGACATCAGAAACATAGATCAGTTGCCTCTTGTACATGACCTGACTAGGGATCAACCGGGGATCAAACCCTCACCCTGGGTATGTGCCCTAACCCGGAATCGAACCCACAATCCGTCAGGGCATGGAACGTTGCTCCAACCGAGACTCACCGGCCAGGGCAATCCCTTCTTTTTCACCCAGTCCCCCAAACCCCTCCCCTCTGGCAACTATTTGTTCTCTATGTGTATGTGTCTGTGTCTGTTTCTGTTTTGTTTGTTTACTTAGTTTGTTCTTTAGATTCCACATATAAGTGAAATCACATGGTATTTGTGTTTCTCTGAATGACTTATTGGTCCATCTATGCTATTGGAAATGGTAAAGTATATGGTTGATTAACTCCTATTCTTTACACCTGAAACTAATACAAAATAATATTGAATGTAAACTGTGATTGAAAAGTAAAACTTTAAGTTCTTTATAATAAAATAAAATAAAATAAAAATAAGTTGATTATACTGTGTAGTTCTTATTCAGAACAATACATATATGATATTTCTCTACCACTTTAATGGCAGCGTAGTATTATATTATATGAACCTGCCACAGTTTAGGGAAACAGATAAATAGGTAAACTGCCAGCTAGCCCTCTGTGATGGAGTTTTCTGTACGTGGGGCGGGACAAGCATAGACAGCTCTTCATCTTCACCAGCAGAGTCTGGAAGAATTCCTGAGGTTGGTCGATGAATTAAAGGCTTTATTTATTTATTTATTTATTTATTTATTATTTATTTATTTATTTATTTATTTATTTATTTATTTTTTTTTTCTTAGAAGGTAAAGACAATACTGGGGATCATACTCTAACAAGCTGCTTCCCTTGAAGAGTAACACAGGAGTGAATCTTTTCTGGAATGTCACCTTTCTCTATTTCTGGATGCTAAGCTTTTGCATTGTTTGTTCTGAACATAGCTTTTAGAAAAGCACATTGGAGAGGTGAAGAGCCTCTCAGACTCCATCCCAACCCAGTACACTTCCCTTTGGCATCACTGCGGGCTCTGCCTACCGTTTAGAGTGTGAGGAAAAGCCCTCTGTATTCAGTGTAGCCCTTTAGGCAGCTTAAATCTAACTTCATTCCTGTTGGTAGTGTCTTTAATAAAGGTGGACAAAGGGATAGGAGTTCTTTAAGTATGAAAAACAATCCCATGTTGTAAGACGGCTGTAAACATTCCTCTGTTTCTGCTGCATTTTGAGATCACTTATGTTTTTATGGACAATTAAGATGCAATAATAAAGTATGATGAATAAAAAATGGAAATAAAGAACAGTTAAATGTTCTAGGTAACTATTGAGGCAATAATACATGGTATGGTGCTCATTGTACTAGGGAATTTATGTGAATTATTTTATTTTACCTGATTCTCACAAAATCCTTTTTAGCCAGGGCTTTAAAATATAATGATGCAATGGAAATTTAAAAAACACACCTCCCACGTTCATAAATGGATAATTTGGCAACACCTGTTGTCATCCCTCTGTTCTGGAAGTGTTAGTAACTGCCAATGTCATAGAACTGGCAAGATAAGTGATTGAAAAACCTATTTAGGAAAATTAGGAAGTCATTTCTTTTTCACTGGTGACTGGTGTCTAAGCCTTAGAAATAGCTTTGGGAAGAGGCAGTACCTGCCAGAAGGTAGCTTCCTGGGGAACTCAGAGGAAAGGGCATGCCCGGTGTGTCAGAGGACACGCACAGAGAAAACCAGGCGGAGGAGCTGGGGGTCAAACCAGCTTCTCCCTTTCCCAGCGGCTGAGGTCAAGTTCAGTGTGAATATTTCCCTCCAAGTACTTCTTTCATTAATGATTTTTACTTTCTGTATCTTAAATGACCCCACTGGCGAAAAACACCTTTATAGCACTCCATGTTAGTAAACATTTCAGACATCTTCATGTTGCGACAGCATGTAGTAGTTATTTAGTTAGATTCTGTTCCAAAGAAGCAAATCAAGCAATTCGCTTTTACATGTAGGAATCGGGTGCCATTGTGTGCATCGCTTCTCAGCCACGTGATAAAATGCCTCAGTGGAATCACGATGACTTATTTTAATTCAACTGCTAATGACTTGCTGTCACCATGCATTCTCAGTTATGTGGAAACTACTGTGCAACTTGATTACATTTGCCAGCTTTATTTCATGGGACATCATACAAGTTAGGATACCCCAAATGCAAATGAAAGGTCTCACTAGGGAACTAAAGTGCATCTTTTTTTTTTTTGGTTTTCCCACAGCAGTTCCGAGGAGCATCCTGGGGCCTCCAAGCCTCCGCTAAGCTCCTCCAGCATGACATCACGCATCTTGCTACGCCAGCAGCTCATGCGTGAGCAGATGCAGGAGCAGGAGCGCAGGGAGCAGCAGCAGAGGCTGCAGGCGGCCCAGTTCATGCAGCAGCGAGTACCTGCGAGCCCGACGCCGGCCATCAACGTCAGCGTGCCCACTACCCTTCCCTCTGCCGCCCAGGTGCCCATGGAAGTCCTTAAGGTACGTGAGTGTGGCTCTTGCTGATTAGACGAGCCCTCTGCCAAACCAGCATTTTCCAGCTTCTAGGCGTTTTATTTGTCTAAACGTGTACTTGGTCCTACCGACCTGTCTGAATCATGCCAGTCATCGCCAACCCGCCTGTCCCTCCATGCTTTGGACTGTGAGATACCTGCATGCTCTTGTCACCTAGTGCTGACCTTGTTTACTGAGGAGAGGGATGTTCCATGAGAAATCACAAGTAGGAATAGGTGTCTGCTGCATCCATATCTTCCCATCCTCCTTTGGGAAAGTTTAAAATGTAAAAGGAGTCTCTTCTAATGAGTTGTATGCATTTCCCCCTAATACATCCCATGGCCCTTCTTTAAGTTTGTTCTCTCTGTAGTGAGTAATCTTAGCTATAGAGCCTGACTCTTTTAGAAGGCTCTTCAGGTGTAACCGGGAAGAGCTCCCTTGCTCTCATCCCTCGTTTTCACTGCCAGAGGTCATGACCCTGGGCTGCAGGGAGTTGTCTGTGTGGGTCTTTGATTCCGTGCTGGAGGGGAAGCTGTGGATGGAACCTGTTAGCTTCATTCCAACAGAGCCACCCGCTTCCTAATTACTGGTAAAACTGTAATGTGAGCATAGACTTCCATCTCACACAGGTGTACTCCACATCGCATTTGGGAGAGACTCTCTAGTTTAAAGATAAACACTGCAACTCTTAAATATGACTGATGCAAGAAAAGTTCCCTTAAAAAAGTTTTAACCCATTCACCTAATTAATTCATTCTGAAGAGTCTGAGTTAGCTACTCTTTAAACAATGTGAACTTCACACATCGGAGACTCATTGCTGGTCTCTGCTTTCCTCTGTGCTCACAAAACCATCTCCCACAAGTTAGACTGTACTGTTAAAACATGTAGTGGGATGATGTGTTATAACTGGGAAGCAATATGTGATCCTTCCCAGGAAGTAGGCCAGAGATTCTTCTTTAAAAATAATTTAAAGTAAATTGTTTTTTACTTGCAAAGACTTTTTAAAAATGTAATGATGAAATCATAAAACTCTTTAATGGGGGAAAAAATGGATTAAAATTCTTTTAGAGCAAAAAAGACCCAAACAGTTTCGCATAAAAGTTTACTCTAATGTGATTGAAATTCTGGATATTGCCTCAATTAACAGATATATTACCCCACCCCTGCCACCCCAACTAAAGGCAAGGTTTTCTCTTGGGAAAAGGTTGTATATTAAATCTTTGTGTTCTATTTGGGTGAAGATTGGCAGTCAATAAGTTTTTATAGACTTAATATTTATTTAAGACTTAAGTTGTCTACTAATTACAGAAATCATAATTGTTTTATCTATACTTTAGATTATTTAATGTATGAATTAGTAAAAAATACAGAGAAATATGTTTATTTTATTCACTGTATTAATCAACTTTTAATATCTGAAGGTCAAATTTTAGAAGAGAACATGGGTTGTATTATTAGTAGTTTATGTCCAGTTCAAAGGTAATATTTGATATTGTGTTAAAGTATATTAATTGAAATCAATATTCCTATTAATGGTATTATATTCCATGGTGGGGAAGTTATCCAAATGCAATGTGTTGAACCATTTTCATATCATCTTAAAAATGCACATTATTCCTAAATGTTCTTATTACTTAAAATATATTATTTTAAAAATGATTAATATTAAAATCTTTAGTATGTGGTTTGAATAATGTATTTGTTTTCCTCATATGTTTCGGTTAACTGGTAATACCATATTAATGGCCTGAGCTACAGTCCCCATGAGGTATGCCAGGAAAATGTCCAGAGATAAAGCACAACTAAAGTGTTAGAACCAGGAGACTTCATCTAACTGAAAATGAGCAGTTGGTGAATGTATGTTTCATGTTGAATACAGGTGATCTCTGCCATGCATTTTTACACGGCGTAAAGTAGTGAAGTGTGTCATGTAAATGAAGAACAAGAATTGTTGGCATAGCAATGATGATGGTTTGAAAGCTAGGCAGATTTTAGTAACCTTAAGACCAAATAAAACTATATGATTTCATGTGACATTCTAAGAAACACAAATAACCGTTTTAAGGAGAGTATCATATTAGTGATTGCTTCAGATACTTAATAAAATAGTACTTTCTAAAAATTGTTTACATATTTTTAAAAATGTTATGTATAAAATATGAAATATTTGTTATAGAAAGGTGAGATAAATGTACTTTTTTCTTTTCCCATTTAAATCATAAGCATAATTTTATAAAGTAAATGGTTAATAGCAAAAAGTTAATATGCTTAATTTTTGACCATTTTTCAGTAAATGTATGTATTCAAGGAATGAGTAATATCAAGTTGACCAATTGAGTGCGTTATGATACTGATTATATGGAAGGTGTGTTTTCTGAGTGTAGTGAGGAAACTTCATTGGATTTTAAGGAGTGATACTGCCTGGGTGGAACCCGCTTCCCACGGAGGCAGTGGTGCCGTGCTGCAGGGAGAGTCCCGGGAAATCTCCGCTCCCTGGTCTGCGAGAACGTGAGAGAGGATCGCACACAGGGCCAGCTTGCTGACACGGATAGGCTGTCAGTGGGCTGAGGAACTGATTTCAAAAGCTAAATGGGTATTTTCAGGTTAATCGCCCCCACCCCCCCACCCCCTTTTTTTTTTTTTGGCAGTTATGCTTAAAATATATGAAACTATAAAGTGTGTTTAAAAATTGTTCACAGCATCTGGCAATCTAGGTCTAGTCCTTGGAATTCATAATAGATGTTGGAAATTTGCTTACTTATCCTCCCACAGTCGTCATTTAGTCTGAAAATTTGTGAAGGTTTGCAGGATCAGCCTTGAGTTTCCCTATTGATTTAATTACTTTGTACCTTTATTCCTGCTGTTGATTTTCGTGTTGGGTGACATGGAATGTTAGACGCATTGCGATGTATTTAAGTACTAGAGATATCCTCTGGGTTTGAACAGCCCTGCTCAGTTGAATATTGTAATTAGGGTTGCTTCATCATAAATTAACCAATGTAGTGCATAATATTTTTTTTTTGCAGTGGTGAACACACCTTGTATTTTAAATTATGAACTATAAAAAAGGAACATTAAGACCATTAATGGAAACAGTTTCTTCTCCAGGTGGGTTTTGTTGACATAGGAATCACACAAACCTGAGGTTTGAAGTTTGATGCACCTTCTTTCAGAGGAAAGCAGAGCACCCAGGTACAGGCCCTGGGACACGCCGGGTGTCCTAGCTAGAGCAACATGGCGCCCAGCCCCAGGCTGCTGTCCGCACCCACACGGAGCACGTGTTTTCACTGTCCCGTCTGCCTAACAGGACGCCAAGCACCGAGTGCTCAGTCCCACCCTAGCTTCTCTCCCCACCCGGCCTGCACAGTCTCAGCCTCTGACAGCTTATCTTTGAGAAAATTAGTTTATACTTTGAAAACTTTCCTCTGTTTAGAGCTTTGTAGGGAATTGCCAACGATTTCTACACCCTCCCTTCCTTTCTTTGCCTTGGAATTTAAAACTTTAAAGGAAGATGTTCTCTCTGGAATAGATCGGGCATTGACATTTTCTGCTCTGCAGAAAGGCTATAAGAATTTAAAACAAAACAAAAAAGACTTTTGTAACGTTAGGATATTTTAAGTAGTTTTGGAGAACTTATTTTTAAATGTTCCTTGTTTGCAGATCATTTCAGGCGGCCTAAGGGACCAGGCAGCTGCTGTGCTGTTCCTTAAACACAGACACTCTTACCAGGCCCACACGGTACTCATTTGCTCCGGCATAATTGGTGGGCGTCCCGTTGGGACAGTTATTCTAGGGAAGTCCTACCTGTCCCCTGTTCTATACCCAGCATCCTGGCTTTTGCTAATGAAGGCAAGGGCAGGTGACTGAATTGCTGGCCTTTCTGTACAACTTAAGAAATCTACCTGGTGTAGAACATCCTAGGTGCTGCTTATTCCTTGGGTATAATAAAGACCTTGAAGGGGTGTGTGGAGTTACGAGGGCTAGCTGTCACTGATGCAGCAGGAGGAAAGCTCCCACAGCACCCTGTGCATTTCGGCTTCGCTTCGGTTTATGTATCCAGGGGCAGAGCTGCCGGCAGCATAAGAAGCAGGCGCAGCACTCGCTTTTCAGATCAGCTGCCTCAGCCCCCTCAGTTAGGGGAATCTGTCTCCATAAGAAAGGACATCTGAGCATTCTTCTAATACCATTGTCCCTGGCTGTCACGTACTCTGTCACCTTGTGAGCCACAGGAGCATTCTGCGAGCCTGATCCAGGACTGTTTATGAACTTCAGAGTCCTTTTGTTTTTGGATCAAACTCTGTATGTGTATGGCATCCTTCTTCTCGGGGACAAATGGACTCTGTTTCCAGGTTCGCAGAGAGAGACCACATTTCCCTGCAGGAGTCTCTTAATAGTATCACTTCGATGTGTTCTTTCGCTTTAAAACTCATTTTTATTGACTAGTACAGATTTCCAGTGCAGAAGAAACAAGGCCCAGTGCCGCTCCAGGGCTCCCAGCCCTCCCTCGCGGGCCTGGGGCTGCTGTTCGGGGAGGGCGCAGCCTTCCTGCCAGAGCTGCCCACCTGCCCTTGCAGTGGGGAGAGGTCTCTTCGAAGAGACTTGGTGAGCAGTTCTGCTCAGGCAGACATAAACGCTTGCTTTTTGGTCACATTTGCAAATAGAACAAAAGAAACAGAATTTTTCTTTCTGGGTTGTCTCTACTTTTGAGAATATGGCTCCAGCCTCCAATCTTCCTTAGGCAGATTGGTCTGAAAGCAATTAGATTGTTTGGCATCACAGGTGTGCCCGTTTGCATGGGCCCCAGCTGGCGGCCAGTTGCCTCCCCTGCTGTGTGACCCTGTGGGGAAGGACCTGTAATTTCAGGGCTGACACCACAAGGTGCTCTTAGAGCTGTCCTGCATGGTGACACGAAGCAACACGGGCCAAGTGGTGCGGCCGTCTTAGTGGTGCCTGTTGATTACTATTGAGATGTTTTCTATCTGCACTA